AAATGAGTCTGACATTTTTTTTTTAAGTTCTGAGAGGACATGGGGGAAAAGCTCATGGGGCCCCCTCTTTAGAATTGAATTATTGATTATTGATAGATTCTGGAGAAAAAGTCATTGTATTCAGTTGTATAGCCACTGCTGAATCCACTGGGTTCATGTTCCCGGTGGAACATGTTCACACAGATATCCTGGTTAAATCCAGTCAGTCACAAAACAGAACAGACGAGAATAGAAAGGTTTGTAGGGAAGATAGGCTGGTGGGATGCACACAGGGGATGAGATCAACTTGTATGCGTTAATACATAAATTTGACAAAAACACCTTTTTTTGTTGTTTGTTTTGTTTTTCGAGACAGGGTTTCTCTGTATTGTTTTGGAGGCTTTCCTGGAACTCCTCCGTAGACCAGGCTGGCTTCAAACTCACAGAGATCCACCTGCCTCTGCCTCCTGAGTGCTGGGATTAAAGGCGTGTGCCACCAACACCCGGCTGACAAAAACACGTTTTATTTAAAAACGTTTTCAACAGAAGCCAAGTGTGGTAGCATAGCTATAACTCTAGCAATCAGGAGGCTGCTGCAGGAGTTTGAAGCTAGCCTGGGCTACTTAAAATGACTCTTTCAACAAAGCAAGACAAAATTCATTCCAAGAAGAAAGCTTTCCAATTGGAAATTCTGTCCCCAGCTCTCCCTGGGCTGAGCGTTGGTTGTCTTCACAATGCAACTGTTTGGACACAGGGCCTTTTACAGGGTAAAATTATGGGAAATGGAGTCCTAATCCAATCTCACCCATGTCCTAGATAAAGAAAATGTGACCACACAGAGGAAAGGCCAGGCACAGACATAGATGGGCCATGTTCAAGCCAGAGGAGCCTGCAGTCACATTAGTCGTGACCTCTCACTTCCAGAATGCTCACAGATTAATGTGGTTTTCCAGCCACCAAGTCTATGAACGTGGCAGCTATGACATGGCACCATGTCTATGGCGTGGCAGCTCTACCAGACTGGTCCACTAGCTGACTTATACCATTGAGACACCAGGTTCAGAACAAAAGTATTCTCTGACAGGTTGGACCTCACGAGAGACACCTTTGAGAAGCCTTTCTGGGGACTGTACTTTGGGGTGCGCCTCATCACATAAAGGAAGTAGAAGCAGCCGGAGCCAGTTTACACCTGCAGTACTTACAAAGCTGAGGTAGATCAAGGGCAGAGGCCTGTCTGGGCTGTAGAGCAAGAGTATGGCAAGTCCCAGCTTAAATGCACCTTCAAATGTGATCAGATGGACGAGGAGACGGAAGTCGGCAAACAGGAGGCTGTGTGGCAGAGGACACCATCTGTACTTCACATGGCTCTGCACTAGCATGGCTGTCATCATGTAAACTCTGACTGCCTCAAAGGCACACGGGTCACACAGTGGGTGTGAAGAGTCCTCTACCATAGGGAACAAGATAATGCCTCAGCTCTCCAGCAGTTAAAAGGCAGGGGGAGACTGCTGGCTTTGCAGTGTCAAAGAAACAAACCTTACTGCTTATAAAAGAATTGATCCGTAGTGTTTCTTATGGTTGGTCTATGTATAAAAAGCTCTTAAAAAATATGTGCACCTTTTAATCCAGAATTCCCTTCTAGGAAAAAAACAAAACAAAGACCAAAGCTGTGTGCATAGACTACGCCACTTATCCCAGAAGTTTAGTGCATTGCCACCCTGGAAGTAAGAGAATTTAGTTTAGAAACCGTGGCTCTGAGATTTGGGGATTAAGTAAACACATGCAGAAAAGTGACTGGAGATAAAATTTGATTTGGTGAAGTGGAGGGTCATAAGAGTGTTACACTTTTTTTAAGTTGAAAATGATGGTTGTGAGGCTGAAGAGAGGGCACTGACCGAGGACCTGGGTTCAATTTCCAACACCCATAAGGTAGCTCAAAACCACCTGTGCCTCCAGTCCTAGGGGAATCTTGTGCCCTCTGCTGGCCTCTATGGTACCACATGCATGGTTTACACAGATAAATGTAGGCAAAGCACCCATACACATAAATGATTATTGTGTAAAAGGTTCCCAAGCTATCATGGTTTGATTTAGAATTTTTCAGCTCTGGTGATATGAAAGTGATAGGTGTTCAATTCTGTGTTAGAATTTTGAAGTTTGATCATTTCCTGGGCTAATAAGCAGTGTGATCCTTCTGAGTGCTGGATGACAGTAAGGAGCCACAGGTTCCTGTCCCTCCATATGGGCACAAGGGGGCGCCACCAAAACAATGAATGCTCTGAGTGCCTGTCTTTTGGGAGCCCAGAAGAGGGAGTCAAATCCGTTGGAGTTGGAGTTACAGGCAATGGTGAGCTGCCTTGCATGGATGATGGGAACTGAATCTGGGTCCTCTGGAAGATCAACACATATACTGAGTCATCTTTCCAGCCCCTCCAGAGGCATTTCTTAATGTGAATAATAAAGTAGGCAAAGTAGATACAGGAAACATAGAATAAAAGCAATTATTGTAAAGTTTGAAAAGTTTTTGAAAATAAGTCCTGTTTTCATACCTAGGATGAAGCTGGGGGCAGATTCGTTGCTTTCTCAGGAGAAGGACAGTCGCTTCGGAAGAAGGGAAGAAAGCCCTAAGTCCAAAACTGTTGGCTGACTGGAAAATAAAAGATCCATTTGTAACATACTGGCTTATGGTTACTGGCTCTGACAAGTTCAGAGAATGCTCTTTTATTTATGGTTTGTTTAGTTATCTAAGGACTATCAAGCTTGTTGTAGGTGCAAAACATAACATAGCCTGGGAAGAGACATTGCTCTCAGGTCCCAGTGGCGGCAGCTGTCTCTACTTCATGCATTCTGCTCCAGGGCTCTCCCAGGCCTCACAGGGCAGTCCTTTTCTGCCTTGCTCTTCCCTCCCAGGGCTGTACAGGACAGTGCCCAGCAGATGTGACTACTCAGGCCTCTAGCTGAGTCCTTGACAAAGATGGTCTCTGCCTTTGCTTGTAGTGACTTCTTGAGAAGGGATCTCATCCAGATGAATTCACTCTCGTTTTGATCTGCTGGCTGTCAGTGAATTCATGCTGAAGCCAAATGTGAACGTTAGAATGAAGAAATGCTCAACTATGCCCCCATTCAATTTTACTTCCTATCCTAAGTTCTGATAGTTTGTTTTTCAAGTACTAGACGAACTAAACCTCACAAATATTAAGCATGCCACATACTCTGCCATGGAGGTTCATCCACACCCCGTTTTCTTACTGTTTTATTGTCCTCAGATCTGCACTTTGTATGATGTAAGATCTTTTGACATGCTGATCATTATTTAAAATTTGTTCCTTGAGAATAATTCTTATTCAAAAATTAAATAAACTGATTAAAACTTGACTCCAGCTGTTGATAAAGGTATGTCATGGATTGGTAGTTTGGGTCACTAGCCAGTAGTCACAGGAATGCCCACTTTTAGCAATCTACACTTCAGCCTGTTATTAGAAGACTGCACCTTTGAGACTTAAGAGATGGTGGGGACAGGCAGCACTCCCTGACACTTGCAGTGGGGATGGTCAGGCCTAACAAGGTCCCCATGGACAGTGCACTTTCCCTATGGGTTGATGGCTCTAGTGTGTCCATTTGCTCTTAGAAATACCCACAAACAACATGATAATTGGCTTCTATCTCTGTGGCACATACATCATCACTGGCCAAATAATGGCTTTGGAAGGTATAAATGCTGTGGCACCTGCCAGACCTGTCATATGAGGACATCGGTTTCACTAGCAGCAAGGCATTTGTGGATTCTGTTGGCTACTATAAATTTTGTTCAGCTGGGAAGATGACTCGGTAGTTAAACACTTGTTCTTGCAGAGGATCCAGCTTTGGTTCCCAGCACCCATGTGGTGGTTCACAGCCTTCTGTAATTCCAGTTCCAGAGATCTGTGTACACATGGTGCACATACATATTTATTACACATAAAATGAGTGCATTTAATATGTGGCTGCATGTGCAGGTGCGTGCATGTGGAGATCAGAGTACAGGTCTCAGGAGTCCCTTCTGACACCTTGAGGGATACAGGATCAAACTTCTCCTTGGTTCTGTCACAAGTGCCTCTTTTTTTATTATGTTTACAGCGTTCTGTCTGTACATATGCCTTCAGACCAGAAGAGGGCATCAGATCTCATTACAGATGGTTGTGAGCCACCATGTGGTTGCTGGGAATTGAACTCGGGACCTCTGGAAGATCAGTCAGTGCTCTTAATCTCTGAGCCATCGCTCCAGCCCCGACAAGTGCCTCTTAAGAGATGAGCCTTCTTTTTTTCTTTTTCTTTTTTTTTTCTTTTTTTTTTTTTTTTTTTTTGGTTTTTTTCGAGACAGGGTTTCTCTGTGGCTTTGGAGGCTGCCCTGGAACTCGCTTGGTAGTCCAGGCTGGCTTCGAGCTCACAGAGATCCACCTGCCTCTGCCTCCCGGAGTGCTGGGATTAAAGAGGTGCGCCACCAACGCCCGGCTGAGATGAGCCTTCTAATGACTGATGTTAGCCTCCAGGCAGTCTCTCCCTCTCCCTTTCCCTCTCTCTGGGGTGTGCTGCCACGTGGGTGCTGGCAATCAAGGTCAGTCAGTGCTAACGGAGCAATCAATCTCAAGTAAATTGGCTTTTCCTTTTCTTTTTTTGAGACAGGGTCTCATGGTATATCCCAGGCTGGCCTTGAACTCACAGGGATACCCCTGCTTTTGCCTCCCTCAGAGCCTCTAGAATTCCTTTCACCCTTAGCCACCCAGCACCTGCTTCCTCCTCTCCACACACCGAATAAAGCTCATCTGCACTTCAGTGTGTGCTCAGACCAGATCCCTGGTAGTCTCAGATTGCCAGGTGGGTTATTCGGAGTTGAAAGTCTTCACTTGCAAAGCTGAGCCACATCGAGATTTGAAAATAAAAACCGGGAGACCTGGCCGGAACTGCCGGGTTTCAGACTGTCAATTACAAGGCTTTGAAGCCAAGTCACCGGCCAGACACCGGTTGGTGAGGCCTCTGACGATCGGCCACTCAGTGAAGACGTCCTGCTTAGCTGCGAATTTACTTGGAGCCCATTGGTTCATGTCTCTGTCAGTCACACGGGGCCTGGACATGGCGGTTGCCGGCAGCTGGCAAGTGAGTGCTCTGGGCTGCTGGGCTGCGGGGCTGCGGGGCTGCGGGGCTGCGGGGCTGCGGGGCTGCGGGGCTGGGTGGGGTTTGGCCCCGGGTCTGCCCGCGCTCACGCTGTCTCTGCCCGCAGCCTCCCCGGCCCTGCGAGGACTACCGCGCTGAGTGGGAGCTCTGCCGCAGCGCCAGGCACATCCTACACCACTACTACGTGCACGGCGAGCAGCCGGACTGCAGGCAGTGGCTGCGCGACCTGGCCAGCTGCCGCGAGTGGGAGGAGAGCCGCAGCCCCGAGGCCCAGGTGCGAGCAGGGTGTGGGTGTGTGCAAACATCCCTCGGGGACATACCCCTCGTGCTTCCCTCCCACGGAGTACCCCCAAACGGCGTCAAGTAGAAGGAGGGAGGCAGAAAGAAAGGAGGTACAGAGAGGCTTGGGGAGGAGGACAACCGCCCAGCGTTAGGGTCAAAAGCCGGCCCTTGGGGACAGGACGGAGGAAGAAAAGAGCCAAGGTGCCTGGAACATGAGGGTGAGCTGTAGAGGGCGTAAGAATGAACTGCAGAGTACCTAAAAATGTTCAGCACGTGTGTTTGTAGTTGCCTTTGGAAGGCCAGCCCGGCTCTGAGAGCTTGAAGAGTACTGTAGAGGACAGAGACCAGTACTGAGACTGGCCCTTCCCTAGGAGGTGTGTAGAAACCTCTACTTACTCTGAATAGCATGTGGAATGACGAACCAAAGAAAGGCTGCCCCTTAATCTAGCTTGGTGAACCGGTGACTTTGTTGGGTCACTTATAGGAAGGAGCATGGTGACTCAAAGACAGCAGCATTCCCTAAGGCCCAGCACGGTGATCCTAGGAGTCCCCCTCCCCCGACACCTTCCCAGAGCAGCTCCAGAGGCTTCTCTCCCAGCGCTTGTTGCTGCTTTTACAGTTTTGGGTAGGAGGCTGGTGAATTTTTAACTCTCTGAACTTCTTGCTCCTAAGTTTCATGTGTTTCCTGAGCAGTGAGCCTCCCTGCCACCCCCAGGTGGGGGTGACTCAAAGCGAGGAAATAGCCATGACACAGGTGACTCCGTAACCATTCATTGTCTCCTTGGGTGGTCTCTGATACAGGGTGATAAGGGAGCCCTGCCGTCTTGGGGCGCACCCCAGTCTGGAGAATGGTGTTGCTTTCATGGGCAGTGGGGTGGGGAGAAGGGGAGCAAAAAATTCCAGGACACAGCCGGCATAGGGAGATGAAGGAAGAAGAGGCTAGGTGTTGAAAACATTCGTAAACATTCTGAAACAGACAAACCAACCAATGTGGAAAACAAGCTGCCAAAACCCTTTTCTAAAATTCAGAAAACAGGGGCTGGAGAGATGGCTCAGTGGTTAAGAGCACTGACTGCTCTTCCAGAGGACGGGAGGGGGTGGTGGTGGTGGTGGTGGTTCAATTCCTAGCACCCGCATGGCAGCTCACAACTATCTGTAATTTCAGTTTCAGGGGACCCAACACCCATGACAAAATACCAATACACATAAAATATAAATAAATAAAAATTTTAAAAAATGTGGAAAACAGAAACATGGCAAGCCCTAATAAGTGAAAGTAAAAAACATGACAGAGAGCTTGTTCATATGGCAAGAAACTGGAAACTTACTGTCTGTCACTATATATGAGCTATAACTATATATGACATATATAGTAACTATGTATATTTATATAATATATATCATAATGAGAAGCACCTTTTACACGCACTGTGCAGAGTTCAACAGTAATTTAGCTTCACACTTCCATCTCTTCCTCGCTCCGTGTCGCCACTCACAGGCTTGCTCTAAACTCTCCAGGTCAGCTGGAGCTGAAGGCTAGGAGACATTTTCAAATGGCTGAAGTCAGAGAATGACATGGTTGTGCCCTCAGGAGGTGGAGGCAGCAATATCAGAAACTGAAGGTCATATATAGTGATCATGAAGCCAGTCAGCCTGGGCTACTTGAGACCCTGTCTGAAAAACCAAAGAACACAATAAAATTGCTATTTAAGATGATAAATTAAGCTGGGCAGTGGTGGTGATGCACACCTTAATCCCAGCACTCTGGAGGCAGAGGCAGGTGGATCTCTGTGAGTTCGAGACCAGCCTGGTCTACAAGAGCAGTTCCGACAGGCTCCAAAGCCACAGAGAAACCCTGTCTGGAAAACCGGTCCCACCCAAAAAGATGATAAATTAAGATGACCTGTGCTGCAGAGAAAGCATGGCCTAGATGTGTGTGTTAAAAAATGGAAGAGTTGTCAAGGTGTGTTATGGAGAAACAGTCGAGCTCTAGAGCTCTGTTCGTCGTGTTCCCCTTTGCCCCTCCTTTCAGAAAAGTGCTGAGGAAGAGGGTGGGACCGGTACCAGGTGACAGTCCTGGGGGTGCTGGGATCCAGCTGTGAAGCGGTAAGTGACCAGAGTCTCATTTGCACAGCGATCCCTCTGTGAGAGTGAGCAGACGCGGGTCCAGGCTGCACAGAAGCACAGCCTGGTGTGGACCTTGAGGCAGAGGCCCCCTGCAGACTGGAACCTCCCTCTACCACAGGAGAGGGACAAGTGATGAGTGACAAGCAACCGCAGCCCTGCCCTTGACCTGGACTCGGACTAGCTTCCACCCGACCTGGAACACAGAGGAAGGCATTTCCAGCTCTAACTGCCTGTTGCCTACCTGCATCTGGGCATCTCACCACTGTGATAAGACACCTGTGTCCACAACTGCAGGCAGCCAAGCACTGTGGCAGGTACCTGTGAGCAGCCACATTGGTCCATCTTGTCCATGCCACCTCCCGGAGAACAGCCACACCAGAGGTGGCAGTCCTGACGTGTGAGACCCTTAAGTGCACAGTGGCGGTCCTGACCTGTGTGGATACATGGCACAGTAGGCAGAATAAGGTTGCTAAACGGTTCTGCTGCAAGTGGATCTCCTTGACCATGAAAAATGGACCTCGGGGCCTTGGGTTTGGTGATTTACTGTGTTATTCAAGCATGGAGCTCAGCCTTGCCCAGCTCCCCTGGAGATAACAGTAGAGCATGCTCAGTGGGCAGAACAACTTGCCCCTCTGCACCAGCCCCTTCTACTGGTTTTGCAGACTTTTACACAGTCTTGCAGGAACCACAGAATCTGGGGCCAAGAGTTCAAGTCCAAGGAATATGGGATTTAGACCTCCTGATTTCTCCTTGTTGTTAATGTATTAAAAGCCATTTCAGATGTTGGATTCCAAAAGCAACCCGAAATTAAAGCCACATTTGTTATACTTTGCACCTGACCTAGTTAGGGTATGTGTCTATTGCTGTGACGAAACACCGTGACCAAAAACAAGCTGGGGAGGAAAGGGTTTATTTGGCTTACACTTCTACATTGTAGTCCGTCATTGGAGGGAGTCGGGACAGGAACTCACACAGGGCAAGAACCTGGAGGGAGCTGATGCAGAGGCCATGGAGGGGCTCAGCTCACTGGCCTGCTCATCATGACTGCTCAGCCTGCTGTTTTATAGAACCCAGGACCACCAGCCCAAGGATGGAACCACCCACAGTGGGCTGGGCCCTCACCTACTGATCACTAATTAAAAGAATGCCGACTAGGTAGTGGTGGCACATGCCTTTGATCCTAGCACTTGGGAGGCAAAGACCGATGGATCTCGGTGAGTTTGAGGCCAGTCTAGTGTGCATAGTGAGTTTCAGGACAGCCAACACTACATAGAGAAACACTTTCTCAAAAAACAAAACAAATGGGGGCTGGGAAGATAGCTCAGAGGTTAAGAGCACTGGCTGCTCTTCCAGAGGCCCTGGGTTCAATTCCCAGTAATTACATGATGGCTCAACCATCTATAGTGAGATCTGGTGCCCTCTTCTGGCGTATAGGTATACATGCAGGCAGAACACTGTGTACATAAATAAATAAATAAATAAATAAATCTTTAAAAACTATTGCCCTACAGCTGTAACTTATGGAGGCATTTTCTCAATTGAGGTTCCCTTTCATATAACTCTAGCTCAATGATTCTTTTTTTTTTTTTTTTTTTTTTTTTGGTTTTTCGAGACAGGGTTTCTCTGTGGCTTTGGAGGCTGTCCTGGAACTCGCTCTGTAGTCCAAGCTGGTCTCGAACTCACAGAGATCCGCCTGCCTCTGCCTCCCTAGCTCAATGATTCTTAACCTTCCTAATGCTGCGACCGTTTAATACAGTTCCTCATATTGTAGTGAACCCCAATGATAAAATTATTCATAACTGTAACTTTGCTACTGTTATAAGTTGTAATGTAAGTATCTGATATATGATATGCAACCCCTGTGAAAGGGTTGTTTGACCTCCAAAGGGGTCTCAACACACAGGTTTAGAACCTCTATTAGCTTATATCAAGTTGATGTAAAACTAGCCAGCACAATGCCCAACGAAGCTATACTCAAGATTAGTATTTTGTTCTTTTGTAGTGTTTTAAATATTTACTTAAACCCTGAGTCTGTTTGGCTTCTGGCTGTTCGTGCTACCCAGCTGTCCTCTGCCACTCTGCACCTGACCTAGTTAGGGTATGTGTTATACCCTCCGGATTCTTCCCTCCCAATAAATCTCTTGAATGAGGTTTGGGTGAGACCTTCTTTCCTGGAGCAGAGACGACCCTGGGTAGAGCAGAGCAGAGCAGGACTGTAACACTTTTTGCTGGGGTAAACCTTCCCTGGCGAACTGAAGTTGAAAACAATCTTAGCCGGGCGTTGGTGGTGCACGCCTTTAATCCCAGCACTTGGGAGGCAGAGGCAGGCGGATCTCTGTGAGTTCAAGGCCAGCCTGGTCTACAGAGTGAGTTCCAGGACAGCCTCCAAAACAGACAGAAACCCTGTCTCAGGAAAAAAAAAAGAAGAAAAAAAAAAAAAAGAAAAGAATTCAAGCCAAGAGACAAAATTACAGTGTGATGAGGGAAGCTAAGTAAGTAGAGTAGAATTAGAAGTGGCAGGCAATTTACATGTGATTGAAATTCAGCAAATGTCCCTCTTTTGTTACAAGGTTGTTTCTGGGTCAGGGTGCATTTCTTTGGCTCTGGGTACACGGCCAAACTGTGTTTCTTTGGCTCTGGTCAGGGTGTGTTTCTTTGGCTGACCCTTTTTTTTCTACATAAACTGTTTACCTTTCTTTTATCTGGACATAGCCATCAATTTTAACATTCATACATAAATCCTTCTTAACTAGAATCTTTTCATCTTTCCATCCAGTTAACCTTTTAGAAGATTTACTGTTTCCCCTCTTAATATTATGAGACATAGGTGCTTAATTATTGAGAGTAGTCACTGAGAAGACAAGCCCCCTGCCCCTTTTTAAAATGATTCGAGCATAAAGGAATAGTAAAAGGCATTTTTAAAAGTCAGCAGCAAGCTGGGCGTTGGTGGCGCACGCCTTTAATCCCAGCACTCGGGAGGCAGAGGCAGGTGGATCTCTGTGAGTTCGAGGCCAGCCTGGTCTACAGAGCGAGTTCCAGGACAGCCTCCAAAACAATACAGAAAAACTCTGTCTCCAAAAACAAAAATAAAAACAAAAACGAAAAAAAGAGAGAAACCCTGTCTCGAAAAACAAAACAACAACAAAGAAAGAAAGAGGAGCAGGGACGGGAGGGAGGGAGGGAGGGAGGGAGGGAGGGAGGGAGGAAGGAAGGAAGGAAGGAAGGAAGGAAGGAAGGAAGGAAGGAAGGAAGGAAGGAAGGAAGGAAGGGGAAAAAAGCCAGCAGTAACAGTAGTTAAGTTTGTTTTTCCCTACTGAAGCTTGTGAGTTTCCCTGTCTCAGGAGGAAGGCTGTTAGTAGGAATGGCAAGGCCTGACTGTTACATGTGAAACACTTAGAGGTCTAGTCAGAATCTGAAAGAAACTGGGCAGGGGCAATCTCTTTACTACCTGTTGTTTTGTGGCTTGTAGAACAATTAAGAAGTCTGTAAAGGTCTTAGCATGTTTCCTCTGTTAATGGAAGAAGATTCTGAGTGTGTCTTAAGATCAGGGAATTTATTTACTTGCTTACTTATTCACATTAAGCCCTTGTGGCAGAGACTCCAACTGAACATTAATCAGCTGAAGACTGGCAGGTAGCTGAGCCCCAGGTTTGAGTTTTCTTATTTAAGAGGCCCAGGTAATTAAACTTCCCTTGAAAGCTCTCAGATTTGTATCATCAACAAGTAATTTGTTCGAACTTTACATCCAAAGTTATTGCAAAGCCAGGATGGTTTTAAGGCGAAAAAGACTTTTTTGCTGAGGATGCAATGGTCGGGCATCCTCAGGTGAGGAGCTGGTGGAGGCCTGCCTTTTCTGCAGCCATGGGTGGCAGGGCTGCTGAACTGTCTGGTGACGATGTGGCCTGAGACAAAGGGACACCACAGGAATTATGCATTCATGGTGTGCCCAGATATGGAAGTTTACAGGCTTGTATCAATGATGTCTTAGTTCTAACTTGTTTAAGTAAGGCACTTAATGGTCCTGCATGATGAAGAGATTTTGGAGGCAAAGAATTCCCCATGTCGAAAACTAATAGAGAAGGCAAAATGGAAAATTGTACTCTTTCCTTGTGGTAGGAGTTGAAGTAGAATCAAACTGGGCTTATTAAAGAGAGAAGAAAAAAAAAGTGTTGGAAAAGACCTTTTGGGGCAAAGGACCCGTGCTTCTGAGATTGACTTATGGGGTTCAGCTAGCCTGACATGACCAAATTAGCTGCTTTCCTCAGAATTCTCCTTCTCCTTGAGATCTCTTAACACCATGGGCAGACAAGCTGTGAGCTTTTAGGAGATTTCCATGCATCTCTCTGTGGTGGCTTCATTAAGAATGGACCCATAGACTTATATATTTGAATGCTTAGTCATCAGAGAGGGGCATTATTCAGAGGGGATTTGGAGGAACAGTCTTGTTGGAGCAGCTGTGGCATTATTGGAGGAAGTGTGCCACTGGGAGTGGGCTGTGAGGTTTCAAAGGCCCAAGGCAGGCCCAGTGTCCTTCTCTCCTGCCGCCTTCAGATCCAGGTGTAGAACTCTCAGCACCATGTCTGCCTGCATGCACCACACCATGATAGCAATGGACTAAACCTCTGAAACTGTAAGCAAGCCCCAAATAAATGTTTTCTTTTATAAACGTTGCAGTGGTCATAGTGTCTCTTTACAGCAACTGATCTGAGACAGGGGTGTAGACTTCTCCGTTTCAGAGCTGGCAGGGGGTGATGTGGAAGGGGGCAACACTGAGTCCCTAGAGGAAGGTCCATCTAAAGGGCGGTGATAAAACTTAACAGATGGCAAAGATCCACAATATCAGACACCCTATGTGCTATGTGAGTGATCCAGCGACTGTAACATCAAAGAGTGAGACTTTTAGAGCTATTACAGTTCTCACTGAGAGTGTAGTTAACAAAAGTGTTTGGGAAGTTTTGCCCTTATTAGAGGAAGAGAAGAGGCAAGAAAGCCATTTTAAAAATAGCAGGCTTTGCCATAGGTGATGATTTCACCATCGTAAGGCCATTGCTTGGTGGAGGAGAATTTGACATTTTTCTTTGGCCAGCATAAATTCAGAATTGGTCACTGGGTCTCCTCTACTACAGCTTTGTGGGAAACACTGAGACAAAGTTAACAAGGAAAATCTTTTAACATCATGATTAACGTAAGTTTTGTTCAGTAAGGTGAAATGTAATACCACAGCTGACTGGACCATGTACTGTAGTTGTGTAGAAGGATAAGGTGACTGTGTAACCAGCTACTTGTTGCCTCAGACTCCTACAAAAGGAGCAAGAGGGGCTGGAGAGATGGCTCAGAGGTTAAGAGCACTGACTGTTCTTCCAAAGGTCCTGAGTTCAATTCCCAGCAACCACATGGTGGCTCACAACCATTTACAATTCAATTGGGTGCCCCCTTCTGGCATGTAGGCAAAATACTGTATATGTAATAAATAAATAAATCTTAAAAAAAAAAAAAAGGAGCAAGAACCTGGGTGCTTTGTGACAGAAGGCAGTTCAAGCCAGCAGTAGATCTGTTGAGGTAGATCGTTTCCAAGTCATCTGAGGAACAGTCACATTGACTTCCAGACTGGCTGTACAAGTTTGCACTCCCACCAGCAATGATTAAGTGTTCAGGTTTCCCCACATCCTCACCAACATTTCTTTTATTATCATGGCTATTCTGAATGGGATAAGATGAAACCTCAAAATAGTCTAAATTTGTATTTCTTTGATGATTAAAAATGTTGAACATTTTAAAAGTATTTCTTAGCCATTTGTGTTTCCTCCTTTGAGAGTTCTCTGCTTAGTTCTGTACCTCA